GTGTATATACTCATTAATATAGAAGCAACATTGGTGTATAGAGTACATACTGCTTTTATATCCTATTTTGATTGTATTTACTTAACATATGTAGTACGGTTATCCAGTCCACAGTATATAGCACTTCCTCATGTCATTCTATTTTTGAAGGAATTACAGCTGCATAATATTCTGTCATTAGTATCCTGCAGTTTTAATGGATTCTCCTTGCGCTTTTAGGTTTTCAAGTCTTTGGCTTTATAAATAAAAGGATGAAAGCATCTCTCTGTAACTTTTTAAAATCAAATCTTAATATTTTTTTTAAGGCTGAGTTCTAGAGTCTAATGCAAGGACAAGAAGACAAACATTGTTAACACTGCAAATAGCTTGATAGGAGTGTCAGAGTGCTTTCTAGAATGGCATTATCTGTGTATATTTCACTAGCAGTGAACACAGATTCTACTAGCATCTCACCTCGCCAGCATTAAATAAGATCGAAAAGTCGTTTTTGTTATTAATTTGGCAGATGCAAAATCAGTTTATAAAAATATTTCTTCATAAGGTTGAATAGTTTTTCAGAAATGTATTGGTTATTCATTTCTTTCTTTTGTTCTTTGCTCCTTTAAAAATACTTCGATTCATTTCTTTCTTTCTACTTAAATGCTCTTTATTTACCCGAAACATTTGTCCTTCATCTACCATAATATATACGTTACAAATGTATTCTTCTGTTTTGTTGTTTTACTTCATTTTGTGGTTTTCAAAATCCAGTCAAATTCTTCAATATTTTCCTCTGTAATTTCTTTCTTTGATTTAAGGTATTTTTTTTTGTCAAGCTCAGAAATTGTTTTCCTGTTCCAGGTTAGATAGTCTGAACATATTCTTACTGTTTTTAAAGTTTTTCAGTAACCACTTTATTGCATTATTTGTATAGTGCTACATATTCTGTACCAAGTCCATCCCTAAAGTGTTCTTTGCTTTATATTTTAAATGTCTGATAGCTCACATTTCTTTAGTGTTTTTTTTTTTAAAAGGTAGACCTTCCTGTCTGATTTTTTTTGTGAATAAAATGTACAACTTATCTTTCCAATTTCCTTACAAAAATTCTGTTGGTACTTCAGTTATGAGTATATTATTAGCCTGCAAATTACCTTGAGAAGCATTGACGTTTTCCGGTGTTTGGATTGTAACATGAAGTGCATTCCGAATCTAGACGAGCGTTCCTCAAATGTGAGGACTTGTGGTTCTCAAAAGATAGCGACAGGATCCAGTTTGGGAATCCGTGTGAGGTAACCCAGTGTGTGCTGGGGCGGGCGGTTGGATGGAGAATCTACCTGTGAATCCTACTGTGTAATCTTACTGATTGTATTCAACAAGTATTCATTGATGGCCTAGCATGTGGCAGGTTTATGCCAGACCTTGAAGAAGGGAAGAAGCCATAGCCCTTGCTCTTTAAGTCCAGACATGGTTAGGATAGAAAAAGATAGGGGAGGAGCAGGGAGCGAGGACATGGAAGGGGGGGGGGTCCTACTCACTGGTTGAGAGGGGCGTATGCCAAGTCTTTTTTTTTTTTTAATTTATTTTTGAGAGTCAGAGGCGGGTGGGGGAGGGGATTGGGAGAGGGGGAGACACAGAATCTGAAGCCGTCCCCAGGCTCTGAGCTGTTTGTTAGCACAGAGCCTGATATGGGGCTCGAACCCACAAACTGCAACAACCTTGACCTGAGCTGAAGTCAGACGCTCAACCAGCTGAGCCACCCACGTGCCCTGGGGGCGTGTGCTAAGTCTTGAGAGGGACGAATGGGTGTGTTTGGGAAAGTCTTTGACAAAGAGAGGACATGTGCACTGAGAAGTGAAACAATGTGGTTTTAAAGTAGGTGATTCAGTGTGTGCTTGAAGCCTGAGGTTAAAGATGCTGTGCGGGGAGCTCGGGGCACTGCAGCCTCACGATTGTCAGTAGCCGGCCACCTGCACAGGGCTTCTCACACCGTCTGGGTGGAAAACCAGGTTTTTTTGTTTGTTTGTTTGTTTGTTTTTTCCCCTGCCAGGCTTTATTAATACTTTGTATCATGCAATGAAACTCAGTAACTAGAAAAACGAGAAAAATAAATCCTCATTTGAAAATTTTTTCTAAAAATGTCTTAAAGTAATCTCTATATCCAGTGTGGGGTTTGAATTTACAACCCTGAGATCAAGAGTCGCATAGCTCTATCTACTGAATCAGCCAGGTGGTCCCAGTTATCATTTTCAAAAATTAAGATTTAAGGGGCGCCTGGGTGGCTCAGTTAGTTAAGCATCTGACTTTGGCTCAGGTCATGATCTCCCGGTTCGTGGGTTCGGGCCCCATGTCGGGCTCTGTGCTGACAGCTCAGAGTCTGGAGCTGCTTCGGATTCTGTGTCTCCCTCTCTCTCTCTGACCCTCCCCTGCTCAGACTGCCTGCCTGCCTCTCTCTCTCTCTCTCTCTCTCTCTCTCTCTCTTTCTCAGAAATAAATAAAACATTTGAAAAAAAGATTTAAGAGGCATAAAATTACTCTGTCAAAGTGCTGTAACAATTTGGAAATGTTCACTCTCCATTTCTGCATCTGTCTCTTAGGGATCTTAGCAGCCAGTTCTCGCACCCTCCGTGGACTGCTCGTGAGTAACCACATTTGCTTCCCAGACAAGCGCGAAAGATGTGGCTGGGCGGTGGGAATTTTGCCACAGATCATTCTAAACACAAGTCAGGGTACACTTAGGGGACTGTCCTCACAGATGATTGGCCCTCAGAGGCTGACAATCCTACTTCAAGTGACACAGAGTCATGTAGGGGAAGTTACTAAGTACTCCTGTCTTTACAACTGTATTCTTTGAATCTAGTTAAACCACTGTATTTTATTTTATTTTATTTTAAGCTTATTTATTTATTTTTGAGAGAGACAGAGATGGCGTGAGTGGAGGAGGGGCAGAGAGAGGGAGAGAGAATCCCCAGCAGGCTTTGCACTGTCAGCTCAGAGCCAGATGTGGGCTCGAACTCATGAACCACGAGGTCATGAGCTGAGCCGAAACCAAGAATTGGATGCTTAACCTACTGAGCCACCCAGGAACCCCTAAACCACTGTTTGAAAAAGAAAACGTGCTTCTCAAAAGAAGTGTATAAAATGAAGTATCTTAAGAGGGGTGATTTTTTTTTTTCCCCTCTTAGATAAAAGCAGTGGTTTTCAACCTTGGTTGCAAGTCAGAATCACCTGGGACTCTTCAAAAATGATACTGACCCCGGGTCCCACCTCCTCAGATTAATTTGGGATGCCACCTCAGCACTAGGAGTTTTTTTTTTCAAAGTCCACATTAATTCTAATGTGCAGCCAACTTTCTCCCATAGGGAGCATGCTAATGACTCATCATGTTTTTTGATTGAGACCTTATGTCAAAGAACTGTACAGTGACTGTACTCTACAACTGTCATTTGAATTTGATCTGATGCTTAAAGATGTTAAGATTGTTTGAAACGCAATAATCTGTGTCTAGTAGGTGCTATGAGAGCTTTCTTATGACCCTCCCCGCCAAATATCATTATTTTAAATTACAATTGATGGTGTATGTATCTTTTCAGTATAGCTTATTCAGTCTCTGGAATATGTAACCTAGTGTTAATAAATACCCTTGTAAATTAAAGCTTGATTTTTCTGTTGTCTGCTTCACCTGCTGCTGTCCAGTGACAGCAGTAGTATTGGGTGTTGTATTAATCTTCTAATAAGATTCGATAAGAACAGCTTGCTGTGTGCACATCTATTATCCAAAGTGCAACTGTTGCTGGGTTTTTAACATATAAGTCCCTGGAATTACTTATTCAACTCTTATTTTAGCAGATTAAAATTTCAGGTCTTGGTCTATGGCATGACACGCTCCTTGATATTTTCTAAGTCTCCAAACAGCCCACAATACTATCAATATATGAACACGTCCCTTGACGAATTATTATTATATTTGTGATGGCAAAAGCTAGCTACAGTCTGCAGAGATAAAACTATTTTTTTTCCCGTTTGCCAGTGTGGTCTTCATGTGCCAGAGGCTGCGAACATTCAGTGATTTACTCATTCAGTAAACAGCTTCTGGGTACCTATTTGTGCTAGATATTGGAGATATGCAAAGTCTAAGGTTCTAGTCCCTGCAGTAAGGAGCAGCATAGCAGCATGCTCCTAGCCACTAATATGCATGTGCAAGATGAAAATAATTTTATTCTCCCCCACAGCCCATCATTTCAAGTAGGCATTTGGTTTTGGATATAGCAGTCTTACTAGCTTAATCTCCTCCCCTCCGCCCCCGTTTCTTCTTTCCCTCTCTTTCTCTCCTTGTTTTTTGTTTGTTTGTTTGTTTGTTTTTTTTTTTTGGAAAGTTACTTGGAGGAAAAAAGCTCTAAAGGTGGTACTACCAACTGTTTGGGGGGCATGGGCCAGTCATTTAATCCTTCTGAGCCTCAGTTTCTTCTGCTTTAAAAAGGTGATACCATCCCTGCCCTGTTCACGTGAGTTGTTAGGAGGATTAGGAGAGAAGTTCTATGTAACGTTAACATCAACATTTGAAATAGAGAAGAGTAAATGGACACTGTAAAACAAGTTTTAAAAGAAAGAAAAAAAGGAACCTTACAAATACGGGTGGTGGAGGTCCCACAGCAAAAAGCACACTGCGGGTTTCCCAGTCCCGGCAGGAGGGCACAGCGGAGTTAAATTCCACGGACGTTTGCGTCCATGATGGATTTTTTTTACTTTCTACTCAGCTCCTGAAAAAGAAACTTCCTGGGTTTTCTTTCTCCTCCTACGGTCCCTTCCTGCCGGGAGCCGCTCCGCACGGGCCGCTCTGTGCAGACGCGCCACCTCCTCTTTCTCTTTCTTTCAAACACTTAATACATTTAGAGGCTGATCTTGTGCAGAAAGTATCCCTGACATTTGCAGAGCCCCAGGGATTCAGTGAGCATGCGCGGCGCTCCCTCCCGCCGGGAAGAGGAAGCTCGTTTACATACGAGTCATACCAGGCATAGCCCGCATGTCCGCGCTCCGCGCTCCCGCGGGCTGTGAGCCTGAGCCGCGCCGGCCGCTTTGTCCCAGGAAATGCGCCGCGGCTTTGTCGTCTTCACTCCGTTTTCACTTCCAAGAAAGACTCGTGAAGACTTCCGAAACGCCTTCGAGGGTCTTGATTGAGGATACAAAACACACACCAGCTGCAAAGAAACCCTTGAAGGGTTTTGTGCGAGTTTGATTTTGTGTGTGTGCGCGCGCGTGTGCTTTTTTTTTCTTTGCTCTTTTCTTCCTTTTTTTTTTTTTTTTTTTTTTTGACTTTTACATACTTTGTTTTGATCATCCGAGGCTGGGCCTCCCCCCGTCTTTGTGAGGTTTAAGAGAAAGCCAGGAGCTACTCGGCAGCAACCGATCTTTGAAACCTACTTTTTCGGGGCGAAAGCGAAGAGCTGGTTTTCTGTGCTAGCCCAATAAATGCTATTTATGAAGATGGACCTGTTGAACTACCAGTACTTGGACAAGATGAACAACAATATCGGCATTCTGTGCTACGAAGGTAGAGGTTCTGTTCTAGAAATTGCTCTTCCGTTGCTTTGGTCAAGGCCACTCCTCCTTGAGGGTTCTGAATGCCTTCTGTGTATTTTGTTCTCTTTCTTGGGATTTCAGGGTGCTTTGAAAGGCGAGTGTCTATTATGTACTATTTTCAATACAAAGTTTGTTGTTCCGGATCTTAGCCTTCAGGGTTACTGTGGGGGAGGGAAGGCGGTGAAATATAAACTTAAAAGTTTGCTTTTTGCTTGCAACATATTAACTCTTCCAATTTTTAACTCTTGATTATATGATTGTTTTTTTATTTCTGTTGTGTTTGCTTTAGAGGAAGAACTTCCAGCACCAAGTAAACATTAAAACATGTTGAGTTTCTTTCTTTCCCTGCTTTGATACTTATTTTAAACCTACCCTGTGGACAGTATTTATGCTGTATTGCAGTCAGTGCTTTGGATTTTCACGGAGAGGGGAACAGAAAGTTACAGTGAGTTTTTGTTTTCGGGAGCGATTGTCCCAAACAATGAAGAATTTTTCTATTCAGTTTAGGGTACTAGAAGGGCACTGGAAAGGCACAAAGCACAGACTGGCTCTTTGTCTGATTTCCCATTTCCTGTACAGCACAGAGAAAGTCCTGACATTGAAGGATGTTCCCTCCACACTTCAGTCCCTTGTGGAAGTGATTGCACAACGCACCAGAAAGCTAAATTGAAAGAAAGAAAAAGACCTACTCTGAATTCTTATTGTTTATTACCTCCTGCTAAAACCATGAGGTGTTTCCCCATTGGCTTGTAGTGTTTCAAGCAGTCTCTGCGAGTAGGAAGAAGAAAAAAAGTGATTTTTTAATCTGTTGGAACATTATCTACGTGCGTTTTGAAAAAGTGGTAATGGCCTGGGTTTGAGTGGCCGAGAGGCATCTCCGGGGGAATTCGGCTGGGCAGGAGGAGTGTTTTTTTGTTGTAACCACAGACAAATAGAGGAGGAGACCTCTCCTTTCTGATTCAGGACGGGCAGTGTCCATGTTTTCTCTTAATAGTGAACTGGATGTTTCTTTTGAAAAACAAAACATTGAAGAAACTTGCATTTTTCGTGTAAAAATTTCAGGCCTGTTGTCTGATCAGTTGAAAACGAAACCTTTCCCCTTCAAGGAAAATAAAAGCTCATTCATACTGTTTGTACTCTGTGGGTAAAGATCTCCTACTTCAGAATTTTTTTAAAGATACATATTTTAAACTCCTGCTTGTTCCATTAAAGAGATTTTTGGTAAATTGCTTTCTCTGAATCTGCTGCTCTGAGGATCCTCTTTCCTCTGAAGTCACTCATTTAAAAGGCAGACTGGGCCTGTTCCTTGTGAAATTAACATGCTGTAGTTTTTTAAACTTTTCTTTTTTCCAGGGAGCAGGAAATGAAAACTTTGAAGGCAGTATCTGTTGGCTTGTCTTTGTCGGAGTAATACGATATTTTCAAAACAAAACGTAATCATCAGCCTAAGAGAGGAACATAGGGATTGTGAGGAAATTGATACCACATTAATTTTTTATCTCTCCAGTTGGAGGTAGTGGGGGAAAGCTTATGGAAAACTTGTCCAGGTTGATTGGATGTTCTGTAGAGCGTAATACTACTCGAAAGTAGTCTCCTTGCAGCCTCCCTCTTCATTTGGCAGGAAGAAACTTTGATTTTGAAAGTTGAGTAGATATGTAGGATGATTTGCTATAGTCTGTTTGGTTTAAACATCTGCTATTTTCCTTACTACGAAAGTTAACATTATTTTAACACCAAAATAAATACACAGGAAATGAAGAAAAGCACAGCAGAATTTGAGTGGTGTTTATAGAGGGTAGTTTATGCCCTGGTGGTTTTCTTAGTATAAACACTGCACACATCTGCTCTGAACTCAAAAGGGTGTTTTTGAAGATAGATAGACATAAATCTCAGATGGGATTTTTTTTTTTTGTAAGAAAAGTAGGAATCATCTTTTTCCTTAAGTGCAATACTTGGGAAATATTCTTATTAAACATAGCAGCTCACCAGCATTCCAGGGAAGTTATTTGGAAAATGGAATGTACAGTTGCTGCACAGCATTTGATCTCACTTAGGGCACAGGCGAGTTTTACATCTCTTAAGACTAAGGGACAGTTTAATTTTCTGAAGTTTCAAGATGTTGATGGTTATTCTTATTCTCTAGGTTAATTATACCAGATTCCTGTGTATTATACACGCCTGACTCTGCTAAATAAACCATGTGTCTGCGCTGTCTTTCTTTAGCCTCTGTGGCAGTGTTTCCACAACTAGATCTTTTTTAGCCAATTACGTTGTAGCACGCAAGGCCTTTGTAAAAACCCCATGCGGGGAGTGACTCTAAACGGCTCAGATACGGCCTCGGCATGGTGACTGCTCTCTGGCACCTGACTTTCACCGTAGTCCTCTGTAAGCATAATTGAGAAAGGAAATAAAGGAAGAAATTAACCACAAATAGGTTTGGGGTGGGGGCCCCTGGTTGGAGAAGGAGAAGATTGGCAAAGGACAGAAGGAATCTCAGTTTGGCTAGTTTCTGGAAACCGATTACCTTCATTGGTAATGAGCAAATTAGCAGAACTCTGCCTGCGTTAATGTGTCTCTTCACTTTATGGTTTGTTACCACAGCCCTCAACAGTTAACTTGTGGCCCTATTGGATGTTCAAATTATACCCGCTCAAACCCCAGTTTTGCCTCAGTCTCCATGAAAAGGCAGAGGCCAAGCTCAGCCTTCATTTTGGCCCGTGAACTCCTGAGAATACTCCACCAGTAGACTGGGAAGCCTCATGAAGGTAGGGCCCTCCCACTTGGTGACTTCCGTACCCTGGGGTCCTGCCTTGGTGCCTGATTTGGCTCCCAGGAAGTGGCTGACTCAAGAACTCCGTGAAATCTCTCCAGTGGCAGGATAGTCACTACTGTATAACCTAGCACTTCATCATAGAAATCTCGTGTTCTCCAAGTATCTAATAATCACAGCGCCGCACAGGGCCTTGGGTCTGAAGACATTTGACTTTCACTTGTTTGTTTGTTTTGGCCAAGGAAACTGAGGCCCAGAGAGGTACGTTGTCCATTCAAGTGTATTCAGGAAAGTGTGTAGCAGAAATGAGTTGTGGTGAGGATTCAGTGGTTTTGATTAGTCTCTGATTTTTCCACGGCACTCCTGCCTCCAAAATGATTTTACGTCTTGTCTTCTTAGTTAGTAGTTCCTCTGTGACAGGGTCTGTGCTTGGTCCCGGGGCCCTCACAGCCCCCAGCACACAGCCAGCCTGCCCTGGAGGCCTCACTGTTCTGAGGCCACCTGCCATCAAGGTCCCCAGGCTGTGAGAACCCTGGGGGAAGGGCCGTGTTGCAATGGGCACCCCTGGTGCCCTGGTCCTTAGGTTTGCTTGCTTTCTTTCTGACTGTGCAGGGCAGGAGGCCAGGCCCCGCGTAACAGGCCGCTTCACCAGGAGCCTTTTCCCAAGGGAGCAGGGACGGGGTTAGACCATCGATTTTTCTCAAGATGGCTGACGGGTGTCTATATAATCACCGGTGCTGAAAACCTAGGTCCTCAGAAATGTGCTTGTGGTTGGCCGTGGCTTGAAGCTGCTGTCGGTGATACTTTAATTATGGGTTTAGAGCCATTAGTGTGTGATTTGGTAGAAGAGTTCTCCCCCTTTAATTTAATGGTGCGATTCATAGTGGGAGAAAGTAGGGATAGTTTGTATATTGCAGTCATCGGGAAGCTTAAGAGAAGAGTATTCGGAGTTCCTCAGGTTTTAAGCTGTTCATTGTTCGAGAACATAATTATCGCTTATTTCATCACAGGCTGCACTTAAATTAATTTTCTGGAATTGGGAGGAAAATGCACACAGGGGTTGAGACGGGAGACTCTGCCAGGGGCACCAGCAAGGTGGGGTGAGGGGTTTCTTTTGTCTTGTGCCGGCTGACCAGCAGCAGCTTCGTGTTCTTTGTCTAATGAGTTCAGAGACGTCAGGAAAACTTAGAGCACGGGGCACTGTGGAGGTGAAAAGGCCACAGAGCAGAGCCACGTAACCCGCCACCCCCCCCTTCCCCAGCCCCACGTATCAAGTGACCGGCTCTCGATCCAGGGGTGTATTCCCAAGTAGAACATCTGCAACTATTTTGCTGTGGAAATTCGTTTTACTTTAGCATTTTATTTGCAGGAGAGGGTCAGGAGTGAGGAGGGGGAAAGAGGGAGAGAGGAAGAGGGACAGGGAGAGGGGAGGGGGGCGGGGCTGGAGGGGAGGGGAGTGGAGGGGGAGGCAGAGGGGAGCTTGATTAGTAAAACATGCCCAGGTGAGCCCAGGAGAGCTCCTGCAAGGGATCTGGCCAGTTCCTATTTCTTCAAATTACAGCTTGTGAAGGGAAGGTGTGATTAAAGCCTCCTTCTTCCCAGCTCCCCACCCTTGTTCTCTTCTCTCCTCTGGAAGGATTATTTTACTTGGCTGTTTATCTCCTGGAGCCTACACATGGCTTTGTTTTGGAAGGTAGATTTCTCTTCCTTCCTTCCTCCTTCCCTTCCCTGTTGTCTGCATGGTCTTCTATTCCTGGGGTGTTTGGGTTTGTTGCTGTAAAGATTTTTTTAAACGTGCCATAAGATACAAAACCACACACACACACACACAAAACAAAAACCCTCAGCATGTGAGAAGATGCAAAAGCTCTCAGTGTAGCCTTGTTCTGCTCAATTGTGAGGCTGTTGCAGAAAACTTGGTTTTGTCTGAAGAAATTGGATCCAGACTTAGCACTTCTGCGTGTATACAAGTACATAAAACCAGTCTTACCGGGGATAGTTTCTGGCTGGATCTGTTTTATCTCCTTATCTGAGCATTTATTCAGTGACTGTTTATGTTTCGTGGTATCTCTGTATGCACGTTGAGCTCATTGGAAGTATTTCCTCGCCTTGTTCAGCCACATCAGTTTGCCCTACAAAATAGTCCCTCTCCCTCTTACGTGTTTTAATGAACTCCTGTATCAGCCCCCCCACACCCTCCT